AACTGCCTTGAACAATTTGAGTACAGATATTATTCTTCACTTAGGACTGGGGCTGATCAGGTAAGAAATTTGCCTGCAACCTATTTCCCTATCAGGCAATAATAGAATAGTATATAGAACGGTATATGTTGCAAAACTTCTAAATATGCAGGACCACTCTAATCTGCAAGCTCAAGGCCTAAGTTATAGGTGACTGCCCAACCACTAACACAGAAGCATCCTGACAGCATGAAACAATGGCTGATAGAACATAGCCAGCATTCACAACTTTTTTTTTTTTTTTTTTTTTTTTTTTAATTTTAAAGGAAACAGATCCTCATTGTTGGTTGGTCCGAGCGCCCTCATGTGTCTCAATAGAGTAATGTCATTTTAGGTCTTCCCAAGAGCTATTTCAAAGGACAGATTCCATGACACACAAATCCTCTTCCTATTTGCTTCGGAAGCCTCGTGTGAGACTGAAGATTTTCGGGCTGCTCTAGAATGATGAATTTGTCCTCCCTGATATAAAGTGACATTGGAACTTATACATGAAGGAATGAGAAGCAGATGTTAACAGGCTTGGAGGCTAATTTCAACTTGCCTGTTCTGGTTTAAGCATGTTAGGTCATCCTGTCTATTTCTTTTTCCTGTACCCTGCTCCCCGCACCCTGAGGGGCAGGGCTGTCAGCATGGACACTCTCTCTATCACTACACTGGTCACACAACTAAAGAACCCAGAGCTGTTTGTGTAATACGCAAATCTCAGATTTTTCTACCATCCACTCTATGACTATGGGAAAGTCATTCTTCTCTTCGGATCCCCATATCCTCCTGTGGGAAGGGAGGAGAGCAGTTCTTTGCTCACAGTTAAGAAGCCTCTGCAGTAATGCCTGGCATAGAGCAGATAGGCACCCAGTAAATGTTAACTGAAACCAAATCTACAAACTCTATTCCAACCCACTTGCTGTATTGTATTTCCAGAAAACAGATATTCTTCTTCAAATACAACATGCGTGCTTTAAGAGCTAGCTTGGGAATTCATGGAGTGCAGGCAAAGGTCAACCATCTCTCTGCATTTCCCACAACACCTGACCTAGAACCAAGCACACAGTCACCCTCCATCAACAAAGGGGAGAAGTGGGGATTTGCCCTCTTAATATATTTTCTGACCTTCTTTCTTTAGTAGAGTTTACAGCAATCAAAGACTTGCAAATGGCACCAATTTTCTCATGAATTGAGGACTGTCCACGCAGATGATCTGGTGCCTTTATAGAAGAGTAAATAAAAATGTTTTCCCCTCATCTTCCTCCTTTTCCTTCTTCTCCTTCTTTGTCTTGAAGTTAGGAAGGCATGACTCAACAGCCCGAAGTCCAATTGAAAAAAACACAGGCTCAGAATTCCCAAAGAAAAATGGTCCAACTTTGGTCACTATGCCAAAACAACCTTGGTGGGTCTTGCATTCTGTTAGCCAAACACGCGCGCGCACACAGGAACATTTACCAAGAAAACATGCTCTGTTCTTGGGCTCCTCTCACCAAACAGCAAAGAGCTGTTCACTGCTTAGCTTTAAGCTAGCCAAATCCAACAAAGCCCCAGAGATTTTTGGCTTAATCTTCTCACTGAACTCATGCCAGCCTTGCACGGGCACAGCCAGGGCATCATCACCCAGTCTTAGGTGTTGGCAGCTTCTCCCACCAACTTCTTAGCACTTTCCCTGCTCAGGGCAATGGCAAAGTGTACCCTCCCCTCCCACCCACTGCACTTGGGCGCAGCTCCCTAATGTGCAGTCAAGTCCTTTTGTTAGGTAATTCTGCTGCTCAACAGAATGCCAGGAAGCACCTGCCTAACGGAGCCACTAGATAGTCCTGTCAACTAAAAGTCATAACTAAAACATAAGGGGGGAAAAGTCCTCATGTGCATTATCTCCATTATCATTAAACTGGGAGAAAGGGTTTTCCCAAGACAATCCTTAGGTTAATTAATAATTTCCAGTTCATTTAGAATACCTCTCATATTTGCCTGCCTTCCTTTCCTGCCACCACCGTTGTAGACCAGAATCTCATCAACGATATTCTATGTTATAAACTAGTCTTAAAACTTATGTTCTTTTCTTCCTCCAAACCATCATAAGTATGATGAAACAACCTTGCCCAAACACTTATTTCTACCCACCATTTAACAATTCCTGCTCAAGAGCCCTAATAACTTCCTGTTCCTTATGGGATAAAATTCAGACTCTGAAGCCTGCTAAGCAAACTCCTCCATATTCTCTCAGACCCCCAAGAGAAGTTACAAAGAAACCAGACATCACCACCAGGGCCCCCCAGACCCTTTTATCATTGCTATATCACAGTTCTAGATAGTTGCACAATGATTGAGGGCACTTGGATATCCACAAACCATGACATTCTAGAAAGAATCTTTACACTGGGCATTTCACGTAGACTTCAGCTCCTTCCCCTAAGGTTCTCAAATGTATGGGCATGCATACTAGCTACATTCAAATCAATGGGTTGACCACTATTGTATTTCTTCAAAGGACAGTTTACCTGTTTGGGAAACACTTGGCACACCTAGCAATGAACTTCCAGGCACAAGATAGTAAGTGAGCAAAATAAGAAGGAATAATAAATCAACATCAGAAAAAAAAAAAACACACACACACACACACACACAAACACATCTTGATGCTTGTAGGTCATCATGTTCTGGTGAGAGCAATAGGAAGTTGGAAAAACAAAGTGGACAGCTGGTGGTAAATTATCACCCTACCAGGCCAAGCAGACAAACTCAGGGAAAGCCCAAGAGAAACAAATGGCACTGCCTCAGATGATGAATAAAGGCCAAGGAGATAGAGAATGCTAAAGAACAGAAGTCAAGACCCTTGGGAGGAACACGCATCTGTCCTCTTATTCCCTTCCTGGAAGAGAGCACTGAGCAACTCTATTGCCTTGCCTGGCATCTACTACTCCTGACTAAAGCAATACAAACAACCTTGAAGCTTTCCACAATACAAGCTTTGTTCTTTAAAAATGAAATAGCATAGCTTTTTCCTAAATTCTTAAAAAGCAACAACAGCAGTTTACATATTTTCCCAGTGATCTTTCCCTCAAGAGCTTTCCCCTCATCTCCAGCCAGTGCTGCCTGAGCCTATGTCCTACCATGTGAGGTCCTGACATCCTGAACCTTTAGGAAGTATGACTGTGGCTGGTCATCTTTCCAACTCACCTGCAAGTACCTCCAGGACAAGAATCATGAATTTACCTTCTTCTCTATGTCTTTTCACTTATCCTCCCACACTGTCCCCTAGCACTCAGCCCAGAAGGTACTCAAGAAATACCAATACTGCCTGTTAAAATAAATTAAAATGTATTCTTATTATTTAATGTAAATCTGAAAATTCCCTTCCTTTCTTTTAGACATTTCCTATATCCTTTATTCCTTGTATTCCTTTTTCTAGCAAACGTTCATACTTCCCAAACAACCCTATTTTGTGAGGGATAGGCTATCATCACCCAGAACCACCCCCATCCCTGCCCCCACCCCATCACCCCGCAACATATACAGAGCTGATTCTTGGTTTAGTTTGTGGTTAACAGGGTTGGCACTCTTTCTTCAACTTTTGTTTGAAGGTTTTAGGATTTAAAGTAAAGCCACTGGCCCTGTTTCTCTGCAAGATTATCCTGCCCAAATCTGTATGAATTACCAGTGGCCCTTTCTCGTCTACTTCCCCAAAATTATTCAAGGTTTTATTGTATAATACCTTCACCACATTCCTACCCTGAGAAGTTCTCTCCTGGCTCATTAACCTCCTTCACATGTGAGGGACAAACCTCAGCGTTGCCTACAACTCACTTATAAGAAAATATAAGCTTCTATACCAGGCATGATTTGCGATTGCAGTGCAATTTTCCTATTAAGTCTAGAGTTTATCATTCTTCTCTCCTACACATTCTGGTCTTTCCCTACCCCTTCTTTCCATTCCGCCCCCTTTTTTCCTACCCCCCTCCCCAAGAAATGAACTGGTTTCCATTCAGCAAGTTTAGTCTTGCTTTGGCCAGCTTATTGTTTCAAAGTGGTTATAAAGTTGCTGGGCTTGAACACAGTTTATTAATTTTCAGGCATTCATGATGTCTCCCTGTTGACGGTGGTGTGTGCAGGTGTGCACATGTGTACCTGGGGTAACTAACACTCCTGGACTTTGCAACTTTGATGGTGACTGAAAAGATGAAGTCAAAGTTGATTTGATTATTGAAGAATCACATTATTTTAGAGGTATAGAGAATGTCAGAGTCCAACTTTGGCGTGTTACAGATGTGAAAACAGAGGTGGGCAAGGTAAAAAAGACTTGGTTAGGGTCATAGGTTGATCAGTAGAGGGACTAAGGCTTCAGCTCTGAGCTGTCACATCTCAGTCCCCCAAGGCTTTTCCACTCACATAAATTCCCCCTTAAGGGCTCAAATGTGTGAGTGAGAACCCAGGATGTCCACATACAAACAAAAATGCATCACAGACATGTTAACATGTACATGCAGAGAAGATAGGGAGTTATTGCATTTGTAGCTTACAAAACAGAACCGAGAATGTACTGTTAAAATTAGACTAAAACTGCTGTAAGCAGGTTAAGTTCCATCTAAAGAGATCACATTTCCCCACCATACCCCTGCTATCCATTTCCCCCAAGTGGCTCATTAGAAAAAAAGATGGCTAGATTTCAAAAAGCAACTTGGAGAGATTTCTATAGGATTTTTCTTTAGTTCAGTCAATACAGAGATATCCCTTACTTCCATGAAAATAGCTTTTTCACACGTTTCTGCACACACAGTCACACACACATATAAAACATTGGCAGCAGGTACTTTTAATTTGCTGGAAAATATTTCTAAGAAGTCAAAAAGCTCCAGCTGAATTGCATGCCCTCTTATTGGCTCGCCAGACCGGTTGAGGGACCTGATTGGTCCTTGATCCTGAGGACCGATAAGAACGGCTATAAAATCCCTGGGTGCAGCTCTTGGGCCCCCAGTTTGCAAAAGCCAGAGGTGCAAGAAGCAGCGACTGCAGCAGCAGCAGCGGCAGCAGCAGCAGCAGCAGCGGCAGCAGCAGCGGAGGCACCGGCGGCAGCAGCAGCAGGAGCATCAGCAGCAACAACAACAAAAAAAAAAATCCTCATCAAATCCTCACCTAAGCTTTCAGTGTATCCAGATCCACATCTTCACTCAAGCCGGGAGAGGGAAAGAGGAAAGGGGGGCAGGAAAAAAAAAAAAAAAAAAAACCCAACAACTTAGCGGAAACTTCTCAGAGAATGCTCCAAAACTCAGCAGTGCTTCTGGTGCTGGTGATCAGTGCTGCTGCAACCCATGAGGCGGAGCAGAATGACTCTGTGAGCCCCAGGAAATCCCGAGTGGCGGCTCAAAACTCAGGTAAGCAGCAAACCCAAGAGCAGTTTCTCCCCCAAAGAGCTGTCCTCATTTGCCTCTCCCTTTTGCAACTGTGTCTGTGAAGGCTGATCTTGATAATAAATGTGCTTCATGCCTGATGGCAATAAACTGCCAGTGTAATCCAATAGCCTTAGGCAGTGGAGCTCCTTTGTTTAATAAATTGCATGCAACTAAACGAAGAAGCTGGACGCTCTGCTGAGGGTATTTCATTGCATAAGCCTAGCCTGATTGCCTGAAATCTGGCACGTACCCTCTTGGAGGGGGAGGGGTGAGAGGGGAGGAAAGGCTTGAATGTTGGCATGCTTCAAAGCGCTCTCTATACTTTCCAGAAGCTGATCTAAGGTAAGACCTGGCTTGTTTGATGCTGTCCCTCTTCCTTTCCTCTTAAGACCCTACCTCTTCACTTCTTGACTTCTCTACCTCTTAAGAGAATACACAGAAAAGCTCCCTCTTCAGACTGATTTTCAGAACCATAGCCCTCAAGTCTGACAAATCCAGGGCGGATTCAGAGAAAACCCTATACATCCCACCCCCAACCCTGCTGCCTGTCTCCCTGCTGGCTCTCTAGGGCTCCATTCAATCGTCCCTGCAGCCCGTAGCCAGAGAGCCCCTGGAAAAAAAAAATTGTGAAACGTAGCAGCTGTTTCTCCAAGGGTAAGGTCTCACTTTCGTCTTGACTCTTGGAGCAGCTAATTGTGCATTATTTTGGCTTCCGAAGGAAAAGAATCATTAGGAAGCCCGCATTGACACCTCTGCCTCTTGACTTCTCTGGCTCCACTTGTTCCCCTTCCAATACTGCCCTCTGTCCTCCAACTGTCAGCAAAGATCGGATCGCAGGTGTCAAAATGCTGCAGATGATGATCCCCTTGGAAGAGCACAGGTCCCTGCCGAGAGGAGGGCTTTTGCTTCACTTCCTTTTGTACTTAGTTGCTATAGAGATGCAGTGATTCACAATTCGAGCTTGCCTAAAACAATAGCAGCCCTAATGCATATTAAAACTGCTTAAAGCAAAGTTATAATTTAAACCCGTGGAAATATATAATTAGGGAAATGACTTGTAACATCCTAGAGGCTGCGGGTGGTGGGAGGGGGTGGGGAAGACTAACTGAACCATGCTTTTGATCTCAGAGGAGAATCCTGTGGCATGAAGGCTGCAGATCATTCCTTGCCGAGCTGCCTGCCAGAACACCCCCCTTCTGTGGGAGAAAAATTACTTTTATGGGAGATCTTATCCAGAATGTAGAAAGCCTCATGCAAGTTTTTTGCGGTTTTCTTCCAGTCTTGCACAAGGGATGCCTTGGCCTGGTTATTCCACACCTGTGTTTCTTTTTCCTTTTCTTTTTCTTTTTTTAAGGCTTTTAATATGAAAGAGATTATACATACCTCTAAGCACTGTCCTAGTGGAGGGTTGGGGTGAAACATGAACGGATCAGATTTCTTTTTGCCAATACGACCGTAAGTTAAAAGCCTGAAATCAGAAGGGTCTCCAAGTGGACTCCTGGCACAGTCTTCTCTTCCATTTAGACTAAAATCCCATGCTTTTTACTCGGGAGTGCATTTTTCCAAAGCTAGATGGATTCCCTGGCCCTTTTACCTCTTAAACCTGACCACCAGCCACTGTCTCCTGCCTTTCCATGCTTTCAAGTGCTAAGCAATGACCTTTGATTCTATGGAACGGCTTAAAGGCACGGTGCATTTCAAGACTTGAGCCTCACTTCTCCAGACACCAAAATTGTAGGTAATGGTGAAACAGGGAGCCTGTGTTTGAAACAGAGAACTCCCTCCCTGTCCATCATGTGCTCCAGCTCTCATAAGCAAAAGGAGCCTGTCTATCCTCTCTTTCTCATTCAAATGGGTCTATCCATTGCCTCTCATGACAGATTCCTAGGATAAGTTCTTCTGATCCCATGTCCTTGAAATTCACCTCTGCACCCACTTGATCCCACCCAGCCATCCTCACTGGTTGACCCAGAATGGATGAATTTGTCTCTTTCAGCTGAAGTGGTTCGCTGCCTCAACAGTGCTCTACAGGTTGGCTGCGGGGCTTTTGCATGCCTGGAAAACTCCACCTGTGACACAGATGGGATGTATGACATCTGTAAATCCTTCTTGTACAGTGCTGCTAAATTTGACACTCAGGTAATAAGACCTTGACCACTGCTCCCACTGGCTGCTTGTCTTTAACAATGTGTTAGACCATTGTTATTAGGAACCAGTCTTGTAGGGAACCAGCCCTACTTCTCAGCTTCCCCACTCTAAGTTCCCATCTCAGCATGTGTATGCACGAGTGTGCACACACCACACATACGCAGAGGCACTCATCTGGCCAGGTGATAGGTTCTGTATAAGACACGCCCCACTCACTCTAATGCATGATTCTAAGGAGCTAGTAGAGGCTGTCTTATAAGGCCAGGGGTGATAAGACAAAAAGATTTTTCTCTGTGAGAGGACAGAAAAACATGCATAGAGCAAGGAAGTTCTCTCTGTATGACCAACACACTAGCTTTTGATCTGAATTCTCAAAGTCTCAATCTCAAGAATAGAAAGTCAGATTATGACTATTTTTAAGCTGCAGGATGGTTGATCACGGTTCATCTTTTTTTCTCTAATTTCATTTTGGTAGAGCTCAATTCTCAAGGGAAGCCAGGGAGGTGGGGAGGTGGCTTTTTTTTTTTTAATCCTTAGCCAGGACATGCAATCTTCTCATTGCAAGCATATGCAGATGGCCATGATATGTTGCCCAGATGAGCCCCCTTAAATTCCTCCACGTGTATGCCCATCCTCTTTTCAGGTCAACCTAAAGACTTCCCTCTTGTCCTTTCTCCATGGCAGGGAAAAGCATTCGTCAAAGAGAGCTTAAAGTGCATCGCCAACGGGGTCACCTCCAAGGTCTTCCTCGCCATTCGGAGGTGCTCCACGTTCCAAAGGATGATTGCTGAGGTGCAGGAAGAGTGCTACAGCAAGCTGAACGTGTGCAGCATCGCCAAGCGGAACCCCGAAGCCATCACTGAGGTCGTCCAGCTGCCCAATCACTTCTCCAACAGGTACAAACTGAGTTCACTTTTTCACAGTCAGGGGACTGGGAGCAGGTGGCTGGCTGGCAGAGCCAGACTGGAAGGGAGGGTTAAATTGCCACAGTCATGCTCTTATTTTAGCTTGCAGTCTTCCCAGCTTTTGCAGGAAAAAAAAATATGTTTGTGATTGGTTGTGACAGTTTAAGCAGCTTGGGCTTTTTTTTCCCTACTGTTATAGGAAAAGTCTTTTCATGCAGCTCATAGAAAGCCAGCCTCATCTGCAGCATCCCTGGGTGTTTTCATTGACCATTTTTTGCCATAAGCCTGAAGGGAATGGTGAAGTTTCTGGAAACAAGCTTTTAAGACATCAGATTTGGCTGAAACCATGACCGTGCAACAGCACAATTGGCCATGGCAAAAAAAAAAAAAAAAAAAAAAAAAAAAAAAAAGCCCTCTGGTTAAATGTCATAATGCAGATTTTAAATCTCCATCTATTTCAAATGAGTCCCAAACACAGTCAGAGATTTCACTGGGGAGCCCAGAGCAAGCCATCTCACTTCCCTGGGGCTCAGATTTCCTTTGTAAAAAGTGAAATGGCTGGACTGGACCATTTTCAGGTTTCCTTTCAGGCCTTATGTTATCCCATTCCTCTAGTCCAACACTTCCTAGAATGAGTGTGTTCTATGTCTGTCCAGATCCCATTCTCATCTTAGTATTCAAACACCACCCAAGGCCACTGAGCTAGTACAGTAACATCTGGGCATTGTACTTTTCGGTGTCTTTACCAGCCAGGAGTGAATTCCTATTACGTGAGACAGCTGGCATCCTCAGTTCATGTGCGTGGCCTGGAAAGGTTCCCAGCAAGAACTGAGAGATGCTGATGGGGTTGGCGTGGAGGTATGGCAGGGGCAGTGCAGGCCGGTCAAGTTTAGTCCCCTGTGATATCCTTCAGCCTAAAAACTTGACTCCCAGTCTTGAATTTCTATGATTCTTTGACTCTCCACTCAAATCTGCACATATCCACAATGATCAGTCCTTTGCATGTTACTCTGATCATCTGAGAGTTCTCACAGGCTTATGTGATTAATTTCCTAGCCAGGTGCCACCACCTTTCTTAAGATAGTGGCAACAGCCAAGTCCCTCTGGGGCTTACAAGTGATTTAGTCATGTACATACATGCAACAAAGAAGTAATTCCTCCTTAGGGAAAGGCTAAGGTGCCTAACACAAACACTTTGTAAAATTTCTTATTCACCCTTAACTACAGGTGAGTGCCTTTCAGAACCACAAGTCAATTTGTAAGAATCACTTCTCTAGTCCTTGGAAGTGACTTTATCATGGGCTTCTAAATGGTTTTCTCAGAACAGAAAAATAAAACCATTTCTCTCAAGTGGGCTGTCTCTATATAACTCTTGGTTTTAAATTTCCCCTAGGAAGATTCTTATTGCACAGAGGAAATAGGGGCAAGTCATGGGGAGGAGAGACCTGATTAATTATTGGAGACTTCCATCACCATTAGGAAAAGAAATGAAGAATTCTTAGCCAGACAGGGGCTAAGGACAAAGTATGTGTTTGTGTGGTAGTTAGAGGTGGGGGGAGGGGTGCATTAGCAAAGCCACTATTGCAATTTAGATCCTGAAGGATTCTATGACAAATCATGATCTATAACACGGCATATTTCCAATTGTGAGGCAATGCTAATCTCCCTATTTCATCTGAAGTAGTGTCTTCCATTAGAAAGGCAGAGAGGTCTTTAGGCAGAACTATATAGCTACTAGACTAGAGGTCCCAACTTATCTAAGAAGAGACTAGTAAATTTTTAACCAGGCCATTATTTCTTCTAATCAGTGCCTTATTTTCAACACCTTTAGAAAATGGTCACAAAGAAAGTCTTCTTATCTCCCTCTTTCATCTTAGGGACTCATTAGGAAAGGTCAATTGGAGAAAAAAAATATGGCCAGCCCTTGAAAACCAGAATCTTCCATGCAACCTTTCTCCAAAAATTTCACTTTAACAGGCTATATTATTCCTGCTCAGGATTGTAGAAATGTGTGGTTCCATGCTGGGCTTGCTTTGCTCCATTGAAGCTGCTCACCTTCCTGAGACATCCTGCTTTCCCAGCCTCTATCCCACCATAGACACATGCTAAGTCTGTGCCAGCTGGCACAGAATTGCAAGAGGAAGTAGTTACAGGTTCATTCCACCTTCCTGTGACTTATCTAGCATGAGATTTGGGGCTGGGAGAATCCAAAAGCCTGTGACTGGACCAGGAGCCAGAACAAGGGGATTTTCCATGACAGAAATGCACCTAGAAGTTAAAAAGGTAGCTGGAGTTTCCACCTGCCTGAATTTGCAAACTATGCTTTCAACCCCGTGGGAAGCAGGCAAAATTGATCAGGCCAGCAGGGTGGTGTGAGGCTTGGGAACCACTTAGACCAACCCAGATCCAGAGTGGGAAAACTGACAAAGCTTCCAACTCTCTAGGGCATGGATAGGGAACAGGAAACAGAAGAATAATATTGATCAAGGGAAACAAAGGACTATTTATAAACCCTCACACAGAACGTTCCTAGGCAGTATGTGTGTATTTGGGTAAGCATGGCTGAAACAGTAGCTATGGAGAATATCTGATCTTATTCTTTACCAAGAAAAAAAGGTCAGGGATGGAATTTTCAAAGTGAGAAAAAAGACACATAATTAAAAAGGTACTTTTGGGCTGGGCAATCAGAACACTTAGCCCACCAAGTCTTTCCAACACATCTCCTCCATCCTCCATAAAGATAAAGAATCTTCTTCTTTTTTTGAGACAGGGTCTCACTCTGTTGCCCAGGCTGGAGTACAGTGGTGAGATCTCGGCTCACTGCAACCTCCACCTCCTGGGTTCAAGCAATTCTCCTGCCTCAGCCTCCCAAGTAGCTGGGATTACAGGCGCCTACCACCACGCCCAGCTAATTTTTGTATTTTCAGTAGAGACAGGGTTTCATCATGTTGGCCGGGCTGGTCTTGAACTCCTGACCTCAGGTGTTCCACCCACCTTGGCCTCCTCAAGTGCTGGGACTATAGGCATGAACCACTATGCCCAACCAAGAAAGGAATCTTCTTAAGCAGTCCTAACTACCACTGCGAAAGAGGAGATATAAGCAGAGCTGCTCTATTTTTTACAAAATTGAAAAGAAAAATGTGTATTGAATCCCTAGAAACAGAGAATGTCATAGTTGGAGATGACTGCAGAGGTTAACTAGACTAACTGCCTCGTTTTACTGATTAAAGAAGAAAGGCTCAGAGAGTAGAGTGACCTGCTGAAGGTCACACAGCTTGTGAATAACTAAGTTGGGCTTAGAATTCATGTGGCCTTGAGCCAAGCTATTTGATTTCTACTTCAAAAATGGCAGCCAGCAAAATCTGCAGGAAATAGCCAGAACCCAAAAATAAAATACTAAGCACAATTGAATATATGTGAACCATGGTAGTCCACAATTAAATTTGTGTACTTTCTCAAAAGGATGGACACATCCTACCAATAACTGTAGGAACTATAAGACTGTAGTACAAGAAGGTGCTCACTAAATAGGTGATGATTGCTAAGCCAACTTTTGCTGGAGACACAACCTCTTAAATAATCTATCACACTTAGTGACACAGGAAAGAGCTATGTCATTGGCAAGCATGATCCCAGAGGTAAATGGCTATTCCAGCCCTTACTGGACAGGCACTGGGTTAACCTATTGCTCATACTGAGAAACTGGTGACATCAAAGAATCCTGACAAATTTTCCAGCATTTGAAGAACTACTAATGGAGACATGGACTTTTTTTTATATTCTAAAGAGCTTTCTCAGCCTGCCTTTGTTGAGTTAACAAAAGCTCCATGAGGGAAATAGGGTAGATTCCAGTGGGGGTGGGTGGTTCTCACGAAGAGCCCCCAGGCTGGCAAGGGTCATTGTCAAGAAACACCAAAGTCAGGTATCATATCTGAGCCAGCAGACAAAGTGACAGTAAAGGTAGAAAGGTAGAACCCCTCCAAAAAAGAGCAGGCACTCTGACAAAGTGGGGCCTGAAGGAAACGTATGGCCCTGAAGCTGCAAAGCTGGCTACAGAAGTTTAATTCCCTTAAGGGTACTAGACTTCTTTGTCTAGACAAAAGCTTTCAAGTCCTTCTAAGAAAGAACTTGCATTTCTTTTTATCCCTTTCTAGGGAAAGATTGTATTTTCCAGCCCATTTGGGGACTCATCTGGCATGAACAGCTCTTTCTAGAAATGGAAGGGTTAACTTCTAAGTTATAAAGTCCTTATTGGAGGGATGGGAGATCAGAAACCAGCTACCAGGATCTAATCACCCTCTGAAATAGACACGGCCATCCAAGGACCCAGGTCCTAGCAGAGCCCAAGAGCTAGGAGATGCCTGGAGACCTATGTGGGTGTGTAGATGTCAGAAGCTGGTGGTGCAAAGTTGTTTACTCCATGTTTTTCCAAAACTGCTTTTCTCCCCATTTCCCCATCCAAAGGAGATCTCCTTTGACTCATGTGCTTTATAATTCCAAAGAGCTGGAAAATGTTCCTCTGTGCCAGAGTCCTGATTTTAACCACCTCTGGATATAATTCTCCCTGGAGGGAAGGGTTTTGCCAGGCCTGTGTCAGCAACCAAGACACTGCACTTGCCTCTCAGTCCCCAGCTTCCTTCTGCTGGGCCACAGAAGGGTGACCATATCACCTCATTAGCCACGTTCCATGCTATTTACCATACATCTTTGAAAGAACCTCTCTGGGGGGTTAAGTTATTCTGGAAAGATGTTTGATCCTGTGCACTATACAGTGAGTTAAAAATAAACAGGTTTCTTTTCACGGAAGATCCACTGGCCCCAGAGATCCTTGGGCTCCTCTGAGGAAAGGTTCTCTCCTTATAAATACTGCAGGTCACTGTCACCCGGAGTTTCTTATTAGTGAACACAGAGCTAATGGGCTTTGACAACTCAACTACCACCGCAAAATGGACCACAGGCATCCCAATCTAAATTGGAAAATACCTGAACTGTCTTCCCAAATAACAGGACAAGTCATTGATATGCCCTAAATATTAGACAGTTTAATCCTTTCCGAGCCACACAGCTTAGGTACATTGCTGGGGGGTGTTTAAAGAATTTGCTCCAAATATGAAGGTAACTGATACCAAACATAAGGGGTTTTAGTAAAATTTACCAAAACTACAGTTAAGTTTTCTTCTAGGAATCACTACTTATTGAAGAGAATTATATTCTTAAAACTCCATTTCCTTAGTGGCTGCAAAATAAATCAACAAATGTGCAGTGAGCAGGCAATGTAGTACAATGGCACTGGGCCATGAGGAATACAAAGAAGGACACAAATCCTGCCTTCAGTAAGCTTACAGTCTAGTCAGGGAAAGAAAGCCATCACAAATGATGGTGAACAAAGATCTATAAATATCCAAAAAGGGAAGAGGTTAGCAAACCCTCGTACAGTAGGAGAAGGATTCATGAATTATAGTAGCATGAACCCTTAAAAACCACCAATATTTCCATTTAAATAGCCTTCTTGCCTAGGATTTGGCCTTCTGACTACAATATACCTTTGATGGAGGGCTGAAGATGGAGTCAGTCAATATCTTTTATCAGAGTTGGCCAAGTATGTGATATGGGAATTAGATTATGTAGAAAAATGCATGGCACACAGAAGAGGGGGCCTTAGATGAAGTTTCATCAGAAGATGCACACATCTGCACGCACGCGCACACACACACACATACACACCCCTGTGCCCACGCACCACCAAAAAAAAAAAAAAAGGAAAATTACAAAAAAGCATCAAAATAATTACATATGCATGTACAATGGCTACTAATCTCAGTGTTGAGCATTGGACTCACCTCATTCTAAGTTGCTTCAGCTCATCCACCTTAGTTTCTTCTCTACAAAATGAGAGTTGAACTAGTCACCAAAAGGTCTCTGTGGTCCCAGCTAGCTCTGTAATTCTGTTTCTAAAATTGTCAATCACCACAGTCAGCCTGCTCTTCAAAGTGTGATCTAAATCTCCTGAACTCTAAACATGAAGACCTCTCTTGCATTGTGTGGTAAACCCTAGGAGTAGATGCATTGAAACTAGGGAGACACAGCACAAGGGTTAGAGAGCAAAAGCCACCTTCAACTGATGAACTGTTGATGTTTGCATGGTCAGGCCATTAGGGACTCGTGTTGGCTAGAGCCCGGGTGAAAGCCTGGGTCCTGCCTGGCTCTCACTGGATGACTACCACATGCACTCTCTTTCTTGATGCAGATACTATAACAGACTTGTCCGAAGCCTGCTGGAATGTGATGAAGACACAGTCAGCACAATCAGAGACAGCCTGATGGAGAAAATTGGACCTAACATGGCCAGCCTCTTCCACATCCTGCAGACAGACCACTGTGCCCAAACACACCCACGAGCTGACTTCAACAGGAGACGCACCAATGAGCCGCAGAAGCTGAAAGTCCTCCTCAGGAACCTCCGAGGTGAGGAGGACTCTCCCTCCCACATCAAACGCACATCCCAAGAGAGTGCATAACCAGGGAGAGGTTATTCACAACCTCGCCAAACTAGTATCATTTTAGGGGTGTTGACACACCAATTTTGAGTGTACTGTGCCTGGTTTGATTTTTTTAAAGTAGTTCCTATTTTCTATCCCCCTTAAAGAAAATTGCATGAAACTAGGCTTCTGTAATCAATATCCCAACATTCTACAATGGCAGCGTTCCCACCAACAAAATCCATGTGATCATTCTGCCTCTCCTCAGGAGAAAGTACCCTCTTTTACCAACTTCCTCTGCCATGTTTTTTCCCCTGCTCCCCTCAGACCACCCCCAAATACAAAACATTCATGTAACTCTCCAGCCATTGTAATTTGAAGATGTGGATCCCTTTAGAACGGTTGCCCCAGTAGAGTTAGCTGATAAGAAAACTTTATTTAAATGCATGTCTTAAATGCTCATAAAGATGTTAAATGGAATTCGTGTTATGAATCTGTGCTGGCCATGGACGAATATGAATGTCACATTTGAATTCTTGATCTCTAATGAGCTAGTGTCTTATGGTCTTGATCCTCCAATGTCTAATTTTCTTTCCGACACATTTACCAAATTGCTTGAGCCTGGCTGTCCAACCAGACTTTGAGCCTGCATCTTCTTGCATCTAATGAAAAACAAAAAGCTAACATCTTTATGTACTGTAACTGCTCAGAGCTTTAAAAGTATCTTTAACAATTGTCTTAAAACCAGAGAATCTTAAGGTCTAACTGTGGAATATAAATAGCTGAAAACTAATGTACTGTACATAAATTCCAGAGGACTCTGCTTAAACAAAGCAGTATATAATAACTTTATTGCATATAGATTTAGTTTTGTAACTTAGCTTTATTTTTCTTTTCCTGGGAATGGAATAACTATCTCACTTCCAGATATCCACATAAATGCTCCTTGTGGCCTTTTTTATAACTAAGGGGGTAGAAGTAGTTTTAATTCAACATCAAAACTTAAGATGGGCCTGTATGAGACAGGAAAAACCAACAGGTTTATCTGAAGGACCCCAGGTAAGATGTTAATCTCCCAGCCCACCTCAACCCAGAGGCTACTCTTGACTTAGACCTATACTGAAAGATCTCTGTCACATCCAACTGGAAATTCCGGGAACCAAAAAGATCATCCCTATGGGCTTGGACCACTTACAGTGTGATAAGGCCTACTACACATTAGGAAGTGGCAGTTCTTTACTCGTCCCCTTTCATCGGTGCCTGGTACTCTGGCAAATGATGATGGGGTGGGAGACTTTCCATTAAATCAATCAGGAATGAGTCAATCAGCCTTTGGGTCTTTAGTCCGGGGGACTTGGGGCTGAGAGAGTATAAATAACCCTGGGCTGTCCAGCCTTAATAGACTTCTCTTACATTTTCGTCCTGTAGCACGCTGCCTGCCAAAGTAGTCCTGGCAGCTGGGCCATCTCTGTAGGATCGTAAAAAAATAGAAAAAAAAAGAAAAAAAAAAGAAAGAAAGAAAGAAAGAAAGAAAGAGGGAAAATGAGCTGGTGGTTTGATCATTTCTGCCATGATGTTTACAAGATGGCGACCACCAAAGTCAAACGACTAACCTATCTATGAACAACAGTAGTTTCTCAGGGTCACTGTCCTTGAACCCAACAGTCCCTTATGAGCGTCACTGCCCACCAAAGGTCAATGTTAAGAGAGGAAGAGAGGGAGGAGGGGTAGGACTGCAGGGGCCACTCCAAACTCGCTTAGGTAGAAACTATTGGTGCTTGACTCTCACTAGGCTAAACTCAAGATTTGACCAAATCGAGTGATAGGGATCCTGGTGGGAGGAGAGAGGGCACATCTCCAGAAAAATGAAAAGCAATACAACTTTACCATAAAGCCTTTAAAACCAGTAACGTGCTGCTCAAGGACCAAGAGCAATTGCAGCAGACCCAGCAGCAGCAGCAGCAGCACAAACGTTGCTGCCTTTGTCCCCACACAGCCTCTAAGCGTGCTGACATCAGATTGTTAAGGGCATTTTTATACTCAGAACTGTCCCATCCCCAGGTCCCCAAACTTATGGACACTGCCTTAGCCTCTTGGAAATCAGGTAGACCATATTCTAAGTTAGACTCTTCCCCTCCCTCCCACACTTCCCATCCCCAGGCAAGGCTGACTTCTCTGAACCAGAAAAGCTATTAAAGTTTGTGTGTTGTGTCCATTTTGCAAACCCAACTAAGCCAGGACCCCAATGCGACAAGTAGTTCATGAGTATTCCTAGCAAATTTCTCTCTTTTTTCAGTTTGGTAGATTTCCTTTTTCCTTTATTTTCCTTTTTTCTTTTTTCTTTTTGTTTTTTTTTTTTTTTGCTGTGACCTCTTCAAACCGTGGTACCCCCCTTTTCTCCCCACAATTATATCTATATATGTATCTACAATACATATATCTACACATACAGAAAGAAGCAGTTCTCACAATGTTGCTAGTTTTTTGCTTCTCTTTCCCGCACCCCACTCCCTCCGACTCCCCCTTAAACTTCCAAAGCTTCGTCTTGTGTTTGCTGCAGAGTAATTCGGGGGCTGACCTAGACCAGTTTGCATGATTCTTCTCTTGTGATTTGGTTGCACTTTAGACATTTTTGTGCCATTATATTTGCATTATGTATTTATAATTTAAATGATATTTAGGTTTTTGGCTGAGTACTGGAATAAACAGTGAGCATATCTGGTATATGTCATTATTTATTGTTAAATTACATTTTTAAGCTCCATGTGCATATAAAGGTTATGAAACATATCATGGTAATGACAGATGCAAGTTATTTTATTTGCTTATTTTTATAATTAAAGATGCCATAGTATAATATGAAGCCTTTGGTGAATTCCTTCTAAGATAAAAATAATAATAAAGTGTTACGTTTTATTGGTTTCCCCCCATGTCTTTCATTGTTATTCTTGAAAAACTTATTGAATGAGAATTCCTGAACATGAACCAAGACTGACTACTTTCTTTAAAGTCACTAATTGTCAATACGTAAATTTGACATATTGTTTAAATCAACATTTTCTAAGTTTTTTAAAAAGCATTGAGTAGCTCCCATTATTCTCACTGATGATATCCCAAACTCCTTGCAAAATTGGAAGAAGCTTTAAGGTCTGCAGGCTGCTCAACTGTAAGACCCAACTTTCTTTCTGTTCAGTGACCTCTACGCTCCCGCCACATAGGCAGCTCTGGGAATGACTGGGCTCTCTCCCTTCCAGGTCTTTTATTTATGCTATTATCTCTTTCTAGAAGATTTTTTTCTCCATCCTTCACCTAGACTGAAAGCATGATGGGGAGAAGCACGTGTCAGTCACCAGTGTGTCCCCAACACTAAAATAGCATCTTTAATACTTTAAATGAATGATTTAGAAAGAGTTGGAAGAAGGGGAAAAAGACAACTGAATCAGTGTGACAAGGGAGGCAGATAGCTCTGCGGTTAAAACAAAAGATTTGAATTCTGGCTCTGTCATTCATTAACCACATGATGTCAGATGAGTTTCTTAATCTCAAAACACATCAATTTCTCCCTCTATAAAATGGGGATTGTGACAGTCATCTCACAGAGCTGCTATGGGGAAATAAAACAAGTGAACTTCTTACAACATTCCCAATACACGATTATGCTCAACGAGGGTCAGTTGGTATCACACAAGTTGTGACAATGAGAGCAAAAGCTCCCTATCTCAGAAAATGGTCAAAGACTACACAACAGAATGACGGCTGGGTCTTGGAGGATGCTTATGAGTTTGGTCACATAAAATGGGGAGCTTCGGTGGCACAATTTTTTTCAAGAGACACCTTATATGAGACACCTTTAATTGTGAAGGTTATCTTCACAATTAAATAATAATTTATATATATAAATACATATAAAATTTATATATATAATATATACAAATAAATAATAATTTTTCTCAACATCATTCATTTCTAGCTCCAAATTGCATTTTCCCGAGTTCAGTTATGCCCAAAGCAACTAGGAAACAGTACATGAATTGTCACTTAAGGGCCAAATATGTACTGCATTTGCTTTACTCTGACCTGGCCAAGGAAAAAGAGCACATTTCTTTTATTATTATCCTTCATCCATAGTCTTCTATAAATATTTATTTATATAAAGAGATTGCATGCTACACTATAGTATAGTGTTTAAAAAAAAAAAAAAAAAAACAGACCTGGGATTTGTATAAACTGAGTTTAAACCTTAGTTCCTCTACAATCTCTGTGGCCTTGGGCCAAGTATCTGATATCTTCACACTTTAGCTTTTTTTCGTTTATGAAAATGCCCCTACAAAATAGGGACAAATAATAGGCCTTAGTTCCAAAAGTAACTGAGAATTCAATGTGTTACATATAAAGGACTTAAAATAGCGTCTACCATATAGCAAGTACCCTCAGAATAGAATTCCTTGAGCCCTCAATACATGTAACTCTCACCATTTACATTAAAGTTATTCCCATTATTTAGATTCCACTCCCACCCTCACCGTGAGTATTGAGGTACCATTTTGGATGAAGAATGTTTTTCTGATGTTTTCCTTTTGTAGGTCACCAAACATTATTATTTAATTAAGATTTTATAATTTTTTTGTTTGTTTGAGACAGAGTCTCACTCTGTCACCCAGGCTAGAGCATAGTGGTGAGATCTCAGCTCACTATAACCTCCACCTCCCGGGTTCAAGCAATTCTCTTGCCTCAGCCTCCCGAGTAGCTAGAATTACAGGTGCCCACCACTAGGCCCAGCTAATTTTTGTAGTTTTAGTAGAGATGAAGTTTCACCATGTTGGCCAGGTTGGTCTCAAACTCCTGACCTCAGGTGATCCGCTCGCCTTGGCCTCCCAAAGTGCTAGGATTACAGGCGTGAGCCACTGTGCCCAGCCAGATTTTATAAATTTGAATTATAAATTATTGCAACCTGCAAAAAAATGGCAAATGAACACCTGCATCCCATCACCAAGCTTGGAAAATAGAATAACGTGGGTATAATAATCTCCTGTGCATGCCTCCCTGAACCCATTAACAATCTGTGCCTCTAAAACATTTTGAAAAGCCATGGTTCAAAAAGATAGAATTTCTCAAACTATTGAAATACATTTAATTTTTAAAAAATTTTTACTATCCTTTCCAAAAAAGAGGTGACAGAGATCATGGAATGGTCTGTGAGTTTGTGGTATGAGAGGAAAAGGCCAGGCCTCCCCTCCTGTGGGGAATATGTGAGTGCCGAAGAGCCATCAACATAGCTCCTAAGTCAGAGTTTATCAGACTTACCATGTGCAAAAATCACCTGGAGATCTTGTTAAAGTGAGTGAGAATGGCTGAATGAGGCCCAAGGGTCTGCATTTCTCACGTGCTCCCAGGTGATACGGATGTTGTTGCTCCACAGAGGATGCTTTAAGTAGCAACGTCCCAAGTATCACGGCGTACCTGAATCAGTTCCCCAGTCCTAGGGACCTCCACACTACAGGGATATTGCTGAAGTACAAATATGATCATTTCACTTCCTTGCTTTTGTAGCTCCCACTGCTTAAAAGATGAAAATAAAGCATCTTGACTTCAAATTTAAGCCCCTCAACATAGAAGAGCTTCATCCTACTATTCACTCTAAATTCTGTTGGTGCTAACTTCTTGCTATCCCCTCAAAGACACCATGACCTTTTCTGCCTCATGACTTTCTCAGATTATCTTCACAGGTAGGTAATTCCTTCTAATGAATAGTTCCTTCTAATGAATTTTTTTATAATGAGTAGCCTTCTTCTCAGACTCCTTTTCATTCACCAAAGCCCATGTCACCTCCTGGTAGCAAATGGCACTGCAGACTTCTTGCTAGCAGAAAAGGACCTAGTCATTTTTGTGTTCCTGATGCTTAACACAAAGCTGGCATCCACTAAGCATTTGTGAATGGAGAAAGGAAGGAGGGAAGGAGGGAAGGAGGGAGGGAGGGAAGGAGGCAGGGAGGAAAGAAGAAAGGGAAGGAGGCAGGGAGGAAAGAAGAAAGGGAAGGAGGCAGGGAGGAAAGAAGAAAGGGAGGAAGAAAGGAAAGGAAAGGGAGAAGGAGAGGGAGGGAGAAGGAGAGGGAGA